TCTGTCCTCGGGGAGCCCTCAGTCTGGGAGGCAGACAGACAAGGGACTCTATGCCCCAATCCTTGGCACCCAGTCTGGTCTGGAGCATCCCAAGGAGTTGGGCCAAGGTGAGGTCTGAAAGGTGACTAAAGGTGAGACTGCGGGTGGAGTTGGGGCACGTGCCGGCAGACATTCCCCGCAGCCAGGAGCAGAGCCGAGGTTACAGGGGGGTGGTGCTGCCCACCAGACCTCAGCCCCAATAGCGGACGCCACCTGCACCAGCCTCACTATACCCTCACTGCCCTTTCGTGACAGGGACCACCACAGAGCCAAGTGGCAGGGAGCAGAGGGGGGCATGTGATCCAAACCTCACATTTAGACCTTCCATGCCATCTCCAATTAAGGTTTGGGAGCTAAAAACACAGCCATTAAATGTAGATCATTGAAATATATAACACAATTTTCATAAGCCTGTTCTGCGTTTCTTTTTTTTCATCTACAAGAAGCCTAAAAATAATGAAAGTGGCCCAATTCTGTCTCATGTTTGGCAAACAAGCAGTACTGGTCCTGGATAAGAAAAGTGAGGCTTAGAGAAATCACTCAAAAAGAACCTCCTCCTCGTCACCACGCCCGCCTCCTTGGCCCAGTGAGGCGGCAGCACAAAGGCCGCCCATTGCTGCACCACTGCCTGTCCTTGCAGTCCTGGGGTGTTCTCTAGTGGCCTCTGCCCCATCCACCTGGAGCTCCTCAGCAACCCGGGACGGCAGCCTGAGCCCTTCCTCCTCTGCCTCGCTCCCCACAGTGCAGCCCTGCCCCTTCCCCATAGAGGCCTAGGGCAGCTGCTGTGGCCTGTGCTGGCCACACAGCCACAGACCAGAAAGGCCCTGCAGGCCCTGTCTGCACTGCCCTGGGTCCCTATCTAGTCTGTCCCTGGGTACAACCCAGAAGGGCCACTGGAGATGCCCCCAGATGGGCCAGTCCCACCAGCAGCTCAGAGAAGTCCTCGCCCCCACTGGACCAGTGACAAAAGGGAGATAATATTCTCCATAAATTGACCTCAGAACGCCTCCTATGGGTACCACATTGCAAAACACAGTAGAAGAGAGAAACTGGCACAGAAGTACCTCACAGTAAATGGAAACACACAAGCTCACAGTTGCAGAAACCTTTTCCAACAAATTAGCCAAAAGTGAATATATTACCAAATGACCAAAAAGTGGAGAAGAGCCTCTAGTATGAGAAAATCAAGTGATACATCTCCAACAAGGGACTATAGTAATTTGTCTCCGATATGAAAAAATCAAGAGGGAATTAGTGAAATGTCAGATAAGAAATTCTGAATACTTATGGTAACAAAACTCTATGGATGAAAGAGAAAAGAGACCTTGAACTCCAGGAGATGAGGAAGTCCTTTCATGACTTGAAGAAGGAGATAGACAATATAAAGAAGAATCCAACGGAAATTCTAAAGTTGAAGTCTGTAATGCATGAGATCAAAACCTCCCTTGAAAGTATTAAAAGCTGATTAGATGATGCAAAAGATCAAATTTCAGATGTAGAAGACAAAACCTCTGACCTAGAAAAAAAATCACCAAAAGAATGAAAAATAATCCAAAAAATAAATAATATATGGGAAATCCATATATTAGATACCATCAAATGCCCAGACATCTGAATAAGTGGTATCCCAGAATGTGAAGAATCTAATAAGGACATTGATAATCTATTCCATGAAATCCTCGAAAACTTTCCAAACCTAGAGAAGTATTCAAACATCCAGACACAAGAAATACAAAGGAAGGACCAGTAGTTAGTGTAATGGCTATGTTGCTGGACTCCCATGTAGTCAACCACGGTTCGAGTCCCAGACCCGGTGGCTTAAAGTCCCGCCAGGCATGTGTGTGTGCGTGCCCAAGATCCCAAGAGGAGAATGGAGGAGAAGGGATTGTGGCATGACTATCCCCCTGGAGGGTGATTTCTCACTTTCTGTCTCTCTGTCTCTCTCTGTCTTTCTGGCAAGCATACATACCCTATAGCAGAAACCTCTCCCCACCACCCCAAAAAAAGATAAAGAAAAAAAGAAATACAAAGGATCCCCAAATAGATCCAACCTAAAAGATTCTCTCCATGGCACACCATAACCAGATTAGCCAAAATCACAGATAAAGAAAATATTTTTTTAATGGCAAGAGAGAAATGCCAAGTTATTTACAATGGTTATCCTATCAGGCTAGCATTGGACCTCTCAGTGGAAGCAATACAAGCAAAGAAAGAATGGGAAGATATATTAAAAGTGTTAAAAGAAAAACAATTTCAATCAAAGTTACTATATCCAGCAAGATTACCCTTCAAATGGAAGAAAAGATAGAAACATTCTCAGATAAACAAAACCTGAAAGATTCTACCAACACCTGCCAGCTCTTCGAGAAATTCTAAAGGATGTGTTTGCTATACCAGGAAAACTAAAGAGACCGGCAGAACTACAAGAAAGAAGAAACCAAGAGAATCGAACATAAATGAGTGAAAATTCCACGTTAGACACTTTTTTCAGTATTTTTGGTGCAAATGACTAGTCATGTATTCATTTTCTTTGGAGAGTCTAGTAGTCATGTATCCACTGTCCTTTGAGAGTCTAAATTTGATTTTTTTTTTTTTGAGAGGTTTTTGCTATAGGGCGCGTGCGCTCGCCAGACAGACAGAGAGAGACAGAGAGATAAAAAGTGAGAAATCACCCCCCAGGGGGGATGGCCACGCCGCAATCCCTTCTCCTCCATTCTCCTCTCGGGATCTTGGGCACGCACGCACACGCGCCCAGCGTGAGTTTAAGCCACCAGGTCCGGGACTCGAACCGCGGTCGACTACGTGGGAGTCCAGCGACATAGCCATTACGCTAACTGCTGGTCCCTAAATTTGATTTCTTAATGTTTAAGATTCTATCTCTGATTATGCTGTTTTCATAAACTACAAAAATTATTATGACCCAAATGAAAAAAAAATACATTTGTGAGCGCCCAGCGTGAGTTTAAGCCACCAGGTCCGGGACTCGAACCGCGGTCGACTACGTGGGAGTCCAGCGACATAGCCATTACGCTAACTGCTGGTCCCTAAATTTGATTTCTTAATGTTTAAGATTCTATCTCTGATTATGCTGTTTTCATAAACTACAAAAATTATTATGACCCAAATGAAAAAAAAATACATTTGTGACAATGTTAAATTCTTTGTATGTTGTAGAAAAGAAATACTTTGGAATCACTTTTAGAAAAATTGAGTGTTAAATCTGATCTGTCACTTTTCTTTTTAAAATATATTTACTTCTCATGTACTTCTGCTACAAAGAAAAAGTGCTGAGTAGTGCCACAATTAAAAATAAAAGAAGACAGATTAGATTTTCTGACATGTTGAAATTATATGGGAAACTGTCAAATATGAAACGCTGTTTAGCTCTCTGTGTATAGAAATTTGTGTCAATGGATATTCAAAAATTGTATGAGATTCTTAAATATCTGTTATGTATCAGTATGTTGTTAGTCATACTTATAACGCTAAATAGTTCTAATGTAGTTTGTCACAGAAATGATCAAATTTGTCCATTTTGGGTTACGGTAAAATCAGATCTTGAACCATGGGGGAAAAAGCCTGTTTTTTTTTAAAAAAAGGAAAAATTAGAGGAGAGACTGTTTGATTGGGTCAATATTCAGTGTATTCTGGGTGGGAAAATTTATTTTGTATGCTGTAATGATGTACAGTGAAGTATTATAGAATAAATAAATAAAATTTTTTAATAAATTTAAAAAGAGTTAAATTGTTACAAAGGTGTAACTTTACATCCAATCATTATATTAGGGGTGGAAGGAGTAGAGTGGACAGACTGGCTCTGATTTAGAAAACAGAAACCTGGTCAGTTATCCTGTCTCCTGATAGGGAAAAGACTGTCAAAAGAAGAGGGAGTAGGGCCAGTAGGTGGCATAGTGGTTATGGTGTTGGACTCCCACATGGCTCAACCACGGTTCAAGTGCTGGACCTGGTGGTTTGCTTTCTCATTTTCTCTCTGTCTCTGTCTAGCCACAATTTAAAATAAAATAAAATAAAATAAATAATCATTTAAAAAAGAAGTGAGTGACAAAAAAGGAAGTTGGGCCATTCCAACAGTAAGAGTCGTCGCCAGCAAAGCACTCTCCCAGGAGTCTGCCACATTGCCCCCATGCACTATGGTCTCACCAAGAAGCTTGTCTACCTGCCACAGAAGGTATTTGAGGGGCCTCAAAGTATCATAACTGAGAAAACCTTAACTCCCTTTGAGTCTCCTTGTCCTGACCCTCTGGCATTTGGGTGTCCCACGTGGGCTCTAGCCAGGGCTCTGTGAGAATGGGTGTTGTGTCTTGATAACCACAGTCCTCGCTGGGAATGTGAACACTGGCCTCTGGCCATGGCCCATCACCTCTGAGAGCCAGTCAGCATGAGTCTGTCTTCCGTGACAGAGCGGCTCCCTGAGCACTGACAGGTTTTGAGCCAAGACTGAAGGTGGGCCCTTGCCCTGTGGCTTTGCCCCAAAGTCAATGGCAGCTGTGGCACCCAGAAAGCTTGCACAGATGCTCCCTGCCTGCTCCTCCACCTGTCCTCGGCAGCAGTGAGTCCTTCTGCTAACCGACACAGAGCCTTTTTCTCCACGGGCCACGAATTCTCTGTTCAGTCCCACACCACCAAGCCCTTGCCTCTCATCCCCAGATACAAACAAGCCTTGTCCTAGGAAGGTCTCCCCTATTGTATCCTATCTCCAGAAAGTTCTAGAGTGGGAGGCCAGGCAGACAAGACACACACTGGTCTTCCTCGACCTGAACTTGAGATGGCCACTGTCTTCATGGAATTTTCCACCCACCAGCTATGTCCTCATCCCTCCCCAACCAGGTGGCCCAAGTCTGCCCATATGACCCACATGGCAAGAACACCCCTACCCCAGAATGTGCAGGGCTCAGCCGCAATGAAGACAAGGACAAGCAGGCTTGCAGAAATGTGTTTATTGGAAACCATCTGCTTGAAAACCTGTGTGTGTGTGTGTGTGCGCACATGTGCACATGTGTGTGCAGTGGGGTCCGTGCTCAGTGGTGCCCTCAGATAGCCTTGGCCAACCCCAGGCGGTTGTTGGCCCTGTCGAAGACACTGTAATACTCCCGGATGAAGACATCCCCCAGGATCCACTGCTGGGAGTCATCGTCACCTTGAAAGCCGCTGGTGCAAAAGTCTTGGTTCTGGTTTTGGGAAAAGAAAAGCTGAGATGCAGCTGGTCCCGAGGCATTGGCTGGGTTCTAAACTCACCCCGTCTCCTCCCGCCTCTGCCATCTTTTTTTATCCTTGAAGTCACCTTCCCTGGTAAGCAGACAAGTATCAGATTCATTTCACTCAACGGATGAAGAAATTAAGATTCAAAAAATCAAGTGACTTAATCCAAAATGACCCAGTGGAGTCCTGGCGATCTGAGCCCTGGTACCCTGGTCTTGGCACCTTCTACCCTAATGACCAGCCAGGGCAGGGGGGCCCAGGTGGGCTGCTGGGCCAGCTCAGGGTGCTCAAATTTAGGTCAGAGCCAAGGCGAGTGGGTCAGTGGGGGCAAAGGTGGGACCCCATGAAGCCCAGTCAAGCTAAGTAAAGCCTAGTCAGACTCTAAGCCCACAGGTTGGAAACTGGAGCCCCCTGCTGAGGTTCCCACGGGAAGGTGTGGTCCTACCCACCTTCCCCTCCCCCTCAAGTCTCAGTGCTCTGTCCTTCTGGTTCCCCATTTCTCCCAGGGTGGGACTGTGGTGGCCACAAATGGGCCCCAAGAACAACACGGCCTCACTCCGAAGGGCCAGCCATTTAAAAGCCCATCCCTGTGTTCTTCATCTTGTCCAGACCACTACGTGCCCTAGGCTTACAATTTGCCAAGGCCTGAGCTCAGAGAGGGAGGTGGAGAAGGCGGGAGCTAGGTGGAGCCAGGGTACCCTCCCGCAGTGCATACCTGGTTGGTGTAGGCGGAGGGTGGCAGTGGGTACTTCCTGCCATTGATCTCGAAGACAACAGTGGGCATGCTGCTTAGGCTATCACAGTCGATGTCAAACTAAAGAACCGAGGGGAGTCCTCTTAGAAGGGGTGTGAGGTGTCTCTGCACAGGGTGCCTCTGACCGGGAGAGGTGCCAGACCCCTCCTCTGGAGCACATGAGTGTGGGGTGGGGAGGGGACCTGCCTACGCGGAGAACCACAGCCAGACTCTCTACAGGGCCGTGGCCCCATGTTGTCCTGACACGGGTCTCACTGAGGGGAGCCAGCCGTCAGCCAGCCCCATCTCAGGACCCGGAGGGGTGCATCTCAGTGTCTTTCCCTGCAGGCCCAGCTCACGAGACTCTGGGAGCACTCAGCTGTAGGGAGGATGAGAGACACACCCACGAAGAGGGGAGAAGGTGGGGTCACAGCAAAGGTCAGCAAATCAGGGGTGGCACACCCCACAGAGGACCAGGAGGCAGACTGCCATGCCATGGCAGCATGAAATGCTGGCACTGCAGCGGCAGCAATGGGTGGGAGACCTGAGGCCACTGCAGAGGCTCCCCAAGAAGCCCCACCCTTTGCTGGAAGGGGCTCCTTCACCATTCCCTTCATAGCTCCCCTAGCTCCCCTGACTCCACAGCGACTCCTTGTGGAGTGGGGTGACAGTCTGGCCTCACCTCGCCGAACTGGCCCTGCGTGGCTCCAATGGCCTGCTGAATGTTGAGGATGTCGCTGCTGGGCCCGGCCACAAGGGAGGTGCCTGTGTCCAGGATGGCCTGACAGCCGCCATCACAAGCCACCACCACGCCATTGATGGTGACACTGCAGGGGGTAAACGGATGTCCTTGAGGTGCACCCAGAATCCAGCCATCCCCCCACAAATACCATCCCCTGCCAGGACCCTTAGGCAAGAGGGGAAGTCCCCAACTACCTAAGGGTCCTTCTCTCTGGCCTTTTTCTAGAGTCCCCATAGCTTCCCAAGACAGAGGAAAGACCCCAAACCCATTTTCTCCCAATTAATGGCTAACCAAGAACATGCCACCTTCCCCAGGACAGAAACGTTAATGAAACAACAAACGCATGTGCTTTAAGGTGGGATGAGTACTACATTTGAGGCCTCAAGACCTGGTTTTATGTTTTCTCTGCTGCGCGTCTTGGAGAAATTACCCAGCCTTTGTGGACTCGGGCTTCTCATCTTCACAAAGGGCACATTAACCACCTTCCTAGACCTCCTCAAGAAACAATCCTGAGGCTCACACTTCACGTTAGTGAGTTGTAAGGTGGGGATAATAATGACACCCGCCAGAGCGTTTTCGTGAGGAGTAAATGAGACAGCCACTTCACGGCTCAGTAAGGACCCCAGCGGGCCACCCGCAACCCGTCTTCCCGACAAAGCCCAGGCGCTGTGCGGTGCTGCACCATGAAGGCCGCTGGCCTTGGAAGTGTCTACTTCAGATTCTGATGATGGTCTTAACAGCTACTGTGCTGGAGTCCTGCTCAGAGTCCTGCAACCTGACCCCCGGGCCCTTGCATCCCCACACCTGGCACCATGGGGCTATGGCTCACCCACCTGTCCATGGTGAACTGCCAGTAGTCCTGCATGGTCACGGGCACCCAGTGCAGTGAGCCGGTGTAGTAAGAGGAGTCGATGGCCCCCAGGGTAAGCATGCTCCCCTGGTCGTTCCTGAAACCAAGGCAAAGCAGACTGTGGCACAAGGACATCTGGCTTGGTGAGAAGGTGCCTCAGCCCCACCCTTGGGGAGATGTGAGGAGAACCAGCCCTCCCTTCTCCCAGCCCCACCACAACCTGGAAGGCTTCAGATGAGTCCTCCCAGCCTGCCCACACTCCTCCCCAGGGGGCTTCCTGGAAGCACCAGCTGCAACAGCCTTTCTGCTCTGAGCCCTGCAGCCCCTGGCCCAGGCAGTACCTGGAGCTGTGTGAGGGAGGGGCAGGAGGGAGTAGCCCACCCCGTGGTGGGACTGCCAGGCTCCGCCCCAGCCTCGCTCAGGTGGTCTCATCATTCTCCTGGTGCCCCCACTCCCCTGCCCTGGCACCAAGAGCTTTCTAGCCCCAGTAGGAGAGGTAGTCTTCAATAAGCTCCTACATTTGGGGTTAAAATTGCTCCCAAGAGCCAGCCCAGGGCCTGATGGTTAAGGGAGCTGGAACCCACAAGGCTTATTGCACAGTTCAAGTCTCTGACCTGGTGGCTTGAGAAACACACTGGGCGCATGTGTGAGCATGCCCAAAATCCAAAATGGAGGGAGAGGTGAAGGAAAAGGGATTGTGGTGTGACCACGTCCCATGGGGGAGAGCTTCTTCCCTTTCCCACTCTCTCTCTCTCTGTCTCTCTTTCTCTTTCCAGCAAGTATATGTGCCCTCTAGGGGATTGGAAAACAAAACACTCTGCTTCCCAAACCCAAATCCCTCCTGTTCCCTGGGCACGTGTCAGCCATGCAGGAAACACACTGTCTCTTCCCTGCCTCCCGTGTCACTGCTTCAGTCCCTAGGACTTGTTAAGCCCACCCCAAGCTGGGCTCCAGCACATCGTCTCTGTTCCACTCACCCTCCTGGAAGCCTTCCCCAGCCACCTAGCCCCCAGCCCCTGCCCACACCTGCCTTGGATCCAGCTTCCCTGTCGCTGTTAAGCCTCAGATGCACACCCAAAGCCCCACCGCCCGCCCCGTGGTGCCTTCATCCCAGTCACTTGGTTACGATCCATCGGGTTCGGGACCCTGCGCTGTCCAGATTCCCCTGCTGAGGGTTGACGCCTTGTTTGTCCATGTTATCCCTGTCTCCTGGCCCAGCCCCTGCACGTAGTAAGGGCCTGAGAAACATCTACTGAGTGAATGAGTGATTGAATGAATGAATGAATGAATGAGAGGGCGGGGCTTCCCTGATCTCGCCTGGAGCCACCGGCCTCTTCTCCTGGGGAGGACTCCTCTCTGCCGGCTGACACAGGGCCAGGAAGGCAGAGGAGGGAGCACGAAGCTGGGAGCAGGAGCCCAGGTCTCCAGGCCTGGCTCAGCCTCCGGTTCCCAGGGTGACCTTCTTGCTGCAGCCTATTCCCCCACTCTCCTAAAAGAGGTTGGACTCCCATGGAGTTGGCTTTAGAAGTCTGTGAATCTCGATGACATCAGCAAATGATTGATCCCTGACACTTGGGGAGGGGGAGTTCCCTTGCAGAGATAGGAACGGGTTTCTTTTTATAATGCTAGAAATGAAAGTCTGCTTTTGGTCCAGTGACTTTCAGCTGTGTAAATGCCTATATTGGGAGTCTTTGGACCTGAGGTTGGATGTGTCTGGAAACAAGGGGAGGATTTGCCGGACACTGGTGACTACCCCAGGGGCCCAAGAGTTCCTTTGCCAACAGTCCTACCAGGCTGGGGAAGTCGGGCCTGGTAACACACAGCTCCTACCTGCTCATGTAAACCGAGAAGAGGTCTTTGGCCACCAGGTGTTTCTGCATCATATTGTCAAACACAGGCACTGAGTACTCGGCGGCCAGTGAGGGGTAGGCCAGTCCTAGGATCCCATCAAACTCAGCGTAAGTGAAGACGTTGCCAGGTTCCTGGGTGCTCAGGCCCACGGTCTGGTGAGTGTCCACGATATCAGAGACCTGCAAAATAGTCATATTGATTCCCAGGGAGTTCCTGGGACCGTGGCAGGGACATAACAAGGAGGGGGAGCCAGACCCAGGCCAAAGCTGGCATCAGAGTTTCCAACATAGTTATTTGAGCTTAAGGAAAAAGAGAAAGAGGAAAAGACAAAAGAGAGAGAAGAGAAAGGAGAGGAGAGGAGAAGTAAGGAGAGAAGAGAGAACAAGTGAGGAGAAGAGAGGAGAGGAGAGGAGAGGAGGGGAGGGGAGGGGAGGAGAGGAGAGGAGAGGAGGAGAGGGGAGGAGAGGAGAAGAGGGGAGAGGAGAAGAAGAGAAGAGAAACAAAGAGAAAAGAAGAAAAGAAAAAGAAAGAGAAAAGAGAAAAGAAGAAAAGAAAAAAGGAAAGGAAAGGAAAGAAAAGCACCGTTTCCCGGCACTCTGCTCTGTGACTTGGGGAACTGGCTGACGGGACAGGGGAGCAGGGGAAGAGAGAACTCGGTGTTCGGTGCAGACACTGGTGCTCATTGTACAAGAGTCGGGGACGAATCCAAAGAAGCAGGTAGAACGAGGGATGCTCCAAGGCCCCTGCAGGCTGGGGATGCTCCACGGCCCCGGGAGGCTGGGGCAGCTGCCGTCAGCTGCCCTGGGGCCTGTGGAAGCAGCACCACGTGCAGGAAGAGCATGCCTGCAAGACCCACGCGAGCGCCCCTGTGCTGCCGTGTGCTGGCTGTGTGACGTTGGACAGGTACCTCTCCAAGCCCCAACCCCCTTATCTAAGGTAGTGCTTGGGCTTTGTAATACAGACACTGAGCATTTACTAAGTGATTACTGAACACTTGGTGGCACTGTGCTAAAGAAGCACTAACTCCAAAATATCTCCTCACTCTGCCCACTTCCCTGGATGGTCGGCATGTCCACCAGCCTGCTCTGAGCCACCACCATCTCCAGGCTGGACCACCAGAGTGGCCTGGACCAGAAATCCATCCTCCACATGAGACAGTCCAAGCAGCCTTCAAACATGGAAATTAAGTCATGCTGCCTCTTGCTCCAGAGTGCCAGCTGATCCTGATGTAGTTCAGGATGAGAGCTTTGTCTGAGAGTCTCCCGGCTCCTCGCACTTCTCTCACCTCCAACTCACTCCGCCCACCCAGGCTGGTCCTCATCCTCTTCCTCAGATGCTCTGGCTCATTCTCGCCCCAGGCTCTTTGCACTTGCTGCTCCCTCTGCCTGAAATGCTCCCCTGGACCTTCTCAGGCCTGGCCTCTGAAACCACAGTCAGCGGGTCTCACCTGCCACAGGCCGTTATGTTCCCAGCCTCCAAACACTCCCTTTCACATTTTCAGTTTTGAGAAATTTAGGCCTGAGAATGTAGCAACGAACAAAACCAAGTGCCTGCCCCAGAGGAACCCACACTCCAGCGGAGAAGACAGACAACACGTGAAAAGCAGGAAAGCATGTCAGGCAGCAAAAGCACTCAGAAAAATTCATCAGGGTGAGGGCGACGGGTCGTGGGTTCTTACACCGTGGGGAGAGACGGCCTCAATGGGCAACGTGACCCCGAGCAGGACTGACGGAGAGAAGGAGGGAGCTACTGGAGGCTCGTGCTGTAGGCTAAGTTGGGGGGTGGAGCTAGACATGGCCCAGTCAGAGCAGGGCTGTGCATGGAGTGGACAGTGGGCCAGGCACAGGTGGGGAGAGGAGGGCAGGGGACAGCAGAGGCCCCGTCAAGAACCCAGGAAGCCCAGCGTGGTAGGCACCCAGGTTGCTGCCTGATTTCTAACCTTGGACATGTGAGCACGAGCAGAAAGACGCAGACATGCACGGTGCCCTCCCTCAGTGCCCATCACGGCACTCTCACGTTGAAGGCCAAAGAGACAAGAGAAAGGAGAGCACTCGTTCCGGAGGGCCCGGAAGCTCTCCAACCCTGCTCTATGACTTAGGAGTGAGGCCCAGCCCAGAGCACTGCTCCGGGAGTCGGAGACGTGGGTCTGACCCTCGGCTCCTGGAGGTGCCTGTTACATGCCCTCAGGAAAACCCGAGCCTGAGTTTCCTCATCTGAACAATGAGGAGCAAACCTTCCTCAAAGGGCTACGGAAGAGGAAAATGTACAGTAAAGTCACACCGTGACACTAAAGGGCTCAGGGCTGGCACAGGCTCCAAATTCTGAACCAACTGTGGCAAGGACATGTGAAAAGGGCCAGGGAGATGGAAACCTCTCAGGGCACGCTCGGAGGGCTGACCTAGGAGAGAGGGGAGAGGGACAAGGACAGCCCACTGTGGGCTCTCAGCTAAGATCCCCCTCAGAGTCCTCACCCACTGAGCCTTCTGGGTGGGTGGGAACCACGGGCCCCCTCAGCACCCCCCAGAGGTGCAGCCCCCAGAGCCGGGTATCAGGGTGGGGTGCGGCTGATGGGAAACGCAGGTGAGCCCTGGCCAGCCCGAGGCCCACTTACGGTGACGGTGTCGTAGCCCAGAAAGCCCTGCATGCTGCCTGTGCCATACTGGATGGACAGCGGCTTGTCCAGGTTCTGGAAGGTGGAGGACTTGGACGGGTCGAAGCGCTGGTGGTTCTCTGAAACACAGACCTGGGGTGAGTGGGGTCCTAAAACCCTCTCCTACACGGCAGCCAGGGTTGAAACCCTCCCCAGGCTTGCCAGGAAGTGGTCTTCATGCTAACTAAGCAGCCCGCTCTCCCTGCAGTCCTTGGTCCCGCAGTTCAACAAGGAGAACTATTTGCTGCTCTATCTGCCTCTCCAGCCCCCAGTAGACCTGCATAGCTTCCAAAGGGGAAAAGAAAGGAAAAGCCACCCCCTGTAGTTTCCATGGACATTTTACTTGGATCAGCTGAGTCATTCTAGCCGGGGCCCTTTTCTTAGCCAAACCTTGGTATCCTCATCTATAAACAGAGATCTCTCTCATTTTACAGATGAGAGAGGATTTCATTTGTTTCTCCAGCAACGAATTGTTAGAAGACTAAAGTCTCTCGTTTCTAACTGGTGTTTTACATATTAAACCCATGATTTTCTTTTTTTTTTTTTTTTTTAATTTTGCCAGAAGTCATATGTGTTAGCTGGAGAGAGAGAGAGGAGAGAGAGGGAGAGAAAGCAACCCCCTTGGGGAATAGTCACACTGCAGTCCCTTCTCCTCCATTTCTCCCTCCTTTCTGGATTTCATACCCACATGCACCTGGCATGTTTCTCAAGCTGCCGGGTCTGGTGCTCGAACTGCAAAGTTGGCCACGTGGGATCCAGCCTCCATAACAACCGCACCACCAGCAGCCTGACCCATGATTTTCAACCCTTCCCAGACTATGGCCAATTGGGAGGGGTGAGCAAGAATATGAGACACAACTGGGATGCTGGAAATGTTAACGCAGGCTGTCCCGTCACTCTGTTTTACCCCAGCCCAGCGGTGGCGGAGTGGCCCTGGTGTCTGAGTGTGGGACAGGTGGGGAGGGAGGGGCGGGTGGTCACTCACGGCAGGCAGCACTGTCGCAGTAGACAGAGGGCACCCAGAGGTCCGAGGAGCCCGTATCGAATACCACTGTGAACTCCTGGGGCGGGGTCCCGATGGTGATCTTCCCAAAGTACTGGGTCTGAGAACAGACAACACCAATTCAGAGGTGGGATGCAGCGAGGGACGGGGGGCATGCGTGGCATGGAGGGTGTTCAGTTTTGAAAGCCCTGTGCTGACTGCCCTGGGAGAAGAGTACCGGGCAGGGTTCTTCATCTCTAGCCCCCAGCTGGGCTCCCACCCCAGCCATGCCAGGTCTGATGGTCCCACACACCCTGTAGTCAGCACTGGGAGCAGACTGGGGCAGGCAAATCCTGCAGGAGGAAGACTGCCAGGGCAGGAAAAAGCTGGGCATATAGTTGGGGCATCAGCGAGGTGCAAGCCCCAGGTCCCTGGCAGTGTCCCCACCAGTCAGTCCTGAGGCTGGGGCAAGAGGCAAAGATGGCCTAGATAAGGAAAACACGAAGAGAAGAAAGGCTGGCTGCTGCTGCCTGCCGAGACAGATGGGAGGGACACACTCCAGAAAGCAAAGGCCTAGGGGCACTCCTGTCCGGGGCCCTGGGTGGGAGGAGGAGGGTGACTGAGTGCTGGCAGGGACAGAACGGACTGGCTGGCCTCTTCCCTGCTGAGCCACATCTAGATGCAGCTGCTCAGGCCTGGAAAGGCAGGTGTGAGGTTGGATCGGAGCAGATTTTGTACCCCCTAGGAAAATGTGTGATGAGGCTCATCTGAGCTCTGTCCCTTCCATGGTCACATCTTGATCCTCGAAAGCAGGAGCACTGCTGGCCTGCTGACCCACAGTGGCACTTACAAAGGACAGAGAGACAGCTGCCAAGCCACAGGCACCGTGAGTCCTGAAGAAGGGAAAAGCCATAGGGAGGCAGGCTCTGGTGCGAAAGGACATTAGGGAAAGGTTGGCAGGGCCACTCACGTCTAGGTAGTTGGTGAGCGGCTCACTGGCCACCACCCCGGAGCTGAAGTACTTCCCGCTGACTGTAGACTGCTGCGTCTTTAGAAAGTCCTCCAGAAGCCCCTGCTCCTTCAAGGCCCTCCTCAATGACTTCCCTTTGTGCAGAGGGATCCTGTGGAGATGGGGAAGGTCACAATGAAGTGGGTGCCACCCTCAGGCTGCCCAGCCTCCGAGAAGTGTCCTGAGGCTCTGGGCTTCATCCCAGCCCTCACGGCTCTTCCCAGCCCAGCCTGCTGCTCCATATCCTATGGAGCCCAGGCCAGTGGCTTGTGAACTTTTCATTTATTTATTTTTTTAATTTTCTAGAGGGTGCCTGGACTGACCAGAGAGAGAAAAGGAGGAAGCACCCCCATGGGAGCTGGTCATGCCACAGTCCCTCCTACTCCAGTCTCTTCTCAGGATTTGGGGCACGCACACACACTTGCCTGGTATGCTTTTCAAGCCTCTGAGTCAGGGTCTCAAACCTCACAGTCAGCCATATGGGATCCATCCACCTTGATCACCATGCCACCAGCTGGCCCCCTCAAACTTTTTAAATTTTTTTTCAAATCATGATCCCAGGGACAGCAGGTGGTGTGGTGGTTAAGGCATTGGACTCTCACATGGTCAGCCATGGTTCGAGTCCTGGACCTGGTGGCTTGAAACTCACGCTGGGCACATGTGCATGTGTGCTCAGAATCCCAAGAGGAGAATTGAAAAGAATGGATTGCACCATGGCCAGCCCCCCCAGGGGATGATTTCTCCCTTTCTCTCTCTTTCTCTGTCTCTCCAGCAAGCACATCCTATAGAAAAAAAAAAAACCTAAAAGAAAAAGAAAAAGTAAGAAATATTTTTTAATCAGATCATAAAATCTATGTCCATCCTTATCAAAGGATATTTTGTATTCTTTTCCTATTTTTTCAGTGCAGGTGGATAATAAACCTCTAGAGTTCTGCAGCCCATGGTTTGAAAGACACTAAGCACACTACCACACATTCAGTCCCCAGGCTCTTGCTGTCCCTACTACATGCCAGACACTGAGTGGGGCACAGAGGACCCAGTAGTGACAAGGGTACAGTCTCTACCCTGCAGGGGCACTCCATCTGGGACTTGGCGTAACTGCATTTGCAGGACCATGACAAAGAACCCTGACTGGTGAAAGGTGTCCAATCCCTTTCTGGAATCCAGCTTCCCCGGGAAGGGACTTGGCTTCTCTGTGCTCAGGGCGTGGCAGGGCCGCACCTGGGCCCCTGGAGGCATTGCAATGTCCAACAAGGATGTGAGGCCACATGGGGCCATGTCCTAGCTCCTCCATGCTAGCCAAGTGGCCTCAGACAGTCAGAGACCTTTCCTGAACAACAGCTTTCTCATGTAGAAATGCAAATAACAATACCTGCTTAATCCATAAGGGTTAGTGCACCTAGTAGCAAATAGCCTAAGCAATGGACTATATTGGTACCAGCAAGTGGTGGGTGGTTATGGTGCTGGACTCCCACATGGACAATCACGGTTCAAGTCCTGAACCTAGTGGCTTTCTTTCTCACTTTCCTTCTCTCTGTGTCTCTTGCTAGTAAGCACATGTGCCCGATAGCAAACTTTAAACAATAATAATAAATAATTTTTAAAAAAGAAATATCAGATATTATTTTCGGAGGAGAATCTGGGATTCTCACCCACAAAAGATGTGGTGCAACAGAGAACTTAATTTTAACATATATAAATGTACGTACAGTGTACCAGACACTTTCTGAATTATCTTACAAATATCAATGCACACAATCCACATAACATCTCTATGATTTGGACACTACTATTATTCCAATTGTGCGACAGATGAGATGCCTGAGGCAGAGAGAATTAATGAAGCTAATGACGGAGCTGGGGTCAAACACCAGGCATTTGGACCCCGTAGGCTGCCTGCTTGACTCTTCTTTTTCGCCACAGCCTGAATGTAGGGCCACACTTAGAGGAAAGGCCCTAAGTGCAAAGGCAAGACTGACAGGGGGCCACTATCCCGGGGAAAGATCTGCCAGGCAAGACGCAGGGAAGGCCCTAGGGAGTGCTACTCACCTGGTGATGCCACTGCCCTGAGAGAGGGCGAGGACAGCGAGGAGCACCACGAGGCACCGCATCCTGGACCACCGACTGGCTGCTGCTCCGGACGGTGTCTGTTCTGCAGTCTTTATAGAGGGAGCAGGTTCCCTCTGGCTGGAAGCCCAGACATCAGAGATAGCCCCTGACTTCAGGCGACTTCGCAAACATAGTGAGATAGCACCCAGACTATGCTGATAGGGACCATGCTGATAGGGCCACAAATTCCACCTCCTCGGGGACTTCAAAGTTGAAAGGTATACATGCTTGATCTTCAGGCTGGGAAATGTCAACACGAGCCTCTCCAATCTGATTTCCCCTTCCAAACAGGACTTCTTAAGCCAACACAGGTGAGGCTACTACCAGAAACCTGTTTCTGGTTCACCTTATGCTCTGTAAAAGGCCTAGTCCACCAGACCCCACGCCTACTCTGCCCACCTCTCCCTGGACCTGGCTTCACTGGAAGTCGGCAGCCAGCCCTGTCCAGGAATTTCCTGGTTCAGTTTTCCAGGGGAGACTCAGTCTACTCCCAAAGTGGTATCTGGGGTAGAGAGTGTGGGTTCAGTCTGTCACCCCAGTGAGTTGGGCTCAGGGTCTAGACTCTAGAGTGTGAGCAGGTTGCTCCAGGTTTCTGTGGCAGAAGGCAGGCCTGAGGCTCATGCACCCCTACGGCTCTGTCTTAGAAGGGTGTTGAGAAGGCCATGGGTAAGTGGCAGCTCACCAGAAGGACCAGAAGAACTGGAGAGATCTAAACAGGGAGGCAACATGCGTCCCACACGTAGAGGAAGAGGGAACTATGGAAGTGGTAGTTAGAGTGAGGCCAAGACTCAGAATCGGAGTCCCACTCTGGGGTGCAGGGAGGCCTTTGAGAAGCATGCATCAGAGAGCTAGGTTGAGTCCTGACTCGGAGACCAGGCCCAAGAGGCCAGATATGCCCCTAGGCCTGTTTCTGGAAAGAGATTTAGGACAAAAGGAAAACCAAGACTGTAGCCAGGAAATTAGGGAGGAAAGATCATGTCTTTGGGTTCAGAAGAGTGTAAAATCAGGATTAAGTCAGAATAAGGTGTGCAAAATAAGAAGGTGAGTGGACACCGTGCCAGGTACCCAACATCTGGCAGGACAGACATGTGCGTGGAGAGAGGGGCCCAGTGGGGGTGAAGGGAGAAACTGTGGGGGGGGGCGCTGAGGGCCATGAACTCCAACGTTTCATGCCTCTGATTTGTAAGGACCTCAGGAGGCCAGCAGGAGAACCGTGTGTTGTTAACAGAAGTTAGGAAGACAGGCAGATCTGATCCCTGCCAAGGCAATGTCCCCCTCACCCACGTGCCTTCCCAAAGGTGGCTGCCAGGTTCCCAGAAGGCCAGGACGCTGCTGTGCCAAGTGCCTCTGGCAACTGGCCTCGGGCAAATCCAGCTGTCATTGTGGCACCCTCCCTCCCCAAAAGCTACATCACCACCAAATGGTATAGCTCATTTCCCATTTTCTTCCCTGGGGACACAGCCCTGCCGGGCCTGGGCCTGCACAGACTCTGCTGATAGGCGGCATCTAAGCAGCATCTTCTTCCCACATCAGCCCGACCATGACATGCGGTGTTCAGCAAATGTTCGGTTACACAGATGAATGAATGAAAGGCCTTGCCACCATCCCCAAGCAGCAGCAGCAGCAGCAGCAGCAGCTTTATGATGCCCTGCAGACAAGAGAGGTCCAAAGGTTTGTCTATAATGAGGACAGAGCTTGGAACTGTCCTGGGACTCCTGGCCCAACGCGCTGCACACCACTCCTGGGGCCCGGTGGGAGTAGTGCTGTGGGAATTTCCTCAGTTTACAATGGCAGGTCTGGGGCAGCTCTGCTTCCAGCCCACTCCTCCAGTGGCAGGCGTGCCTGTGTGCAGTGGGCCTCGACTGCAGCATCTGGGCCTAGGACTCTGAAAGGTCAGTAACATCAGGAGGAGGGGGTGCACTGGGTGCAGAAGAGTAAGGGGTGCGGCAGGTGCAGTAACATCAGGAGCAAGGGGTGCTGCGGGTGCAGAGGACCAGAGGGTGTGGTAGGTGCAGAGGAACAGGGGGTATGGCGGGTGCAGAGGCGGTGGGTGTAGAGGGGCGGGGGTGTGCTGGGTGCAGAGGAGTAGGGGGTGTGTTGGGTGCAGAGGAGCAGTGGGGTGCAGTGGGTACAGAGGAGCAGAGGTGCAGTGGGTGAAGAGGAGCAGGAAGTGCAGTGAGTGCAGAGGAGCAGGGGGTCGTGTTGGGTGCAGAGGAGCAGGGGGTGCGGTGGGTGCAGAGGAATGCGGGTGCGGTGGGTGCAGAGGAGCTGGGAGGGGGTGCGGCGGGGGGAGGGGGAGGACCGCCTGGGTGCAGAGGAGCTGGGAGGGGGTGCGGCGGGTGCAGAGGATGCTCCACCCTGCTCCATGTTGCCAGTGGCCCAGTTTGATCTGGCAGCCAACCTTCTGACAATAACCCTAGACATCAGACTCAGCCACCCCTCCCACTGCAAGGTGACCCTCAAAGACTCAAAAATCCCTTCGTGCTGGGTGTTCTGTGTTTGTTCACAAGATTGGGATCATTCTAATAGCATTTGAGTATGCACTATCAGGAACTCTGCCCCAGAGGGCACAGAGAGCTTATCCTCGGGGGTGGGGGAGGAACGGGGACAGGCCAAGAACTGTAAAAAGCTTTTAGAAAATTTATGATAGGCGTAGGGAGCAAGAGAGAAAAAAAAAAAAAAGCCATAAGATTGAATTACTGTTTACCTGGTGCTGGACAGAGACAACTCCCCTTTGTCTGAATTCCTTATATCTGGGGTCTGATTTATAAGAGTGGCCAAAACAAAACTCAGGGCCTGCGGACACCCTCCCTTGCCACAAGCTCATAATCCACTCAGATACGAGCACCAACAAGCCAGTTGTATGCATTCACACTGGACAGAGATAGCGCTGCAGTGCTCACTTCCCTGGGGAGCCCAGAGTCAGGTGGGGGCTTAAAGTATAAGAACATATTGATGCCAAAAAAAGTTCTGAATCCATGTATGCTTTCCCATAATGTCTATTTCTCCAGGAACATTTTGAAGACTCATTGTATGTGACCCCACTGTGAAAAGTGCTAGAGGAGATCTAAAGGGATGGATGTCCCCTGCAGCAAGGGGCCGGGTGGTAGGGGGAGCTTGGCTTCTGGGAAACACACACGTGGCCATCCTGGGCTTGAATCCTGGGTTAGCACCACAGTGACGGGACCTTGGCAAGTCCCTTTCCTCCCCTGTGCCTCAGTTCCCTCTGCTGTAGGGTAGAGTTCATGATGCTGAGAGGGTCATGTGAGGACTGAAGGTAAGAGTACCAAGCGCCACCGTGTGCCAGGACTTCTGCAGCTATGAGTCACAAATGACTGCAGTTGCGTGACTTTGAATGAGTCATGTCATTCTCTGGTCTCGTTTCCTCCTCTGTGAAATGTGGGATTCACGAGCCCGTGGTGTGGACTGTCTCAGCTCTCTTCCAGTTCTATAAATCACTGAATTCCTGCAGTGTGCCAAATCCTTCCAGGCCGGGGGGAAAATCAATGTTAGTCATTTTTGCACAGTGCCCCACAAGTACGCTTCAGTCCAAGTGACTCTCCGGCCGGCCAGCTCGCAGGTCTGTGCCCAGGGGTCTTTCTTGTCCCTGCCCATGCCTCTATTTCCTCCATGCTTCATCTGCTAAGCCAGCGTCTGGAGGCTGTCTCTGCCATATTCCCCAGACAGGGCACAGGGCCACTCCTCTCTGGTCTTGCCGCCTCCCTGGGCCACCACCCTGGATAAAGGTCTAGGTCCCTGCACTCAGGACCTACCTGCCTCCCCTGTTCTTCCCTCACCACTTCTTCCTTCTGCATCCTGCTCAGACCCCCGGGTTCTTCCATGGGCTTCCACTTTGGGCAACGGTGCCCTGCAAAGCGTGCAGGTCACTTCTGCTTCTGCCCCACCCACACCTTTCCTGTGGGAAGAGATGGGCAGCACTGGCTTCTCCTTTAATGAGGGAAAGAAAAAGGAGATAATGAAAGGACTTCTTAAAAAGAATAGGTTGGCATCTCAAATTATTACTGAGTCACACTTAGAAAGCTGTAACATTGATCATAAGCTGATTTAGCATCAGAAACCCCACCTTTACTCCTTTAAATATCTTCATTTTACAAACGGCAAACAGAAGACTAGAATGTTAATAAGCTTCCAAGTCAACCAGCTAATAAGAAGCAGAACTGGGGGACCAGCAGTTAGCGTAATGGCTATGTCGTTGGACTCCCACGTAGTCGACCGTGGTTCGCGTCCTGGACCCAGTGACTTAAAACTCACGCCGGGCGCATGTGCGTGCATGCCCAAGATCCCGAGAGGAGAACGGAGGAGAAGGGATTGCGGCATGGCCATCCCCCCTGGGGGGTGATTTCTCACTTTTCTGGCGAGCGCACACGCCCTATAGCGAAAACCTCTCCAAAAAAAAAAGAAGAAGAAGAAGAAGAAGAAGAAGAAGAAGAAGAAGAAGAAGAAGAAGAAGAAGAAGAAGAAGAAGAAGAAGAAGAAGAAGAAGAAGAAGAAGAAGAAGAAGAAGAAGAAGAAGAAGAAGAAGAAGAAGAAGAAGAAGAAGAAGAAGAAGAAGAAGAAGAAGAAGAAGAAGAAGAAGAAGAAGAAGCAGCAGAGCTGGGAGGCCAGCAGGTGGCATCGTGATTAAGGAGCTGGACTCCCACATGGTCGACCACAGTTTAGGTCCAGGTCCAGCAACTTGAAACTCACGCAGGGTGTGTGTGTGTGTGTGTGTGTGTGTGTGTGTGTGTGTGTGCTCAAAATCCCAAGAGGAAAATGGAGGAGAAGGGATTGTGGCATGGCCATTCCCCCTCAGGGATGATTTCCCACTTTCTGTCTCTCTGTCTCTCTCTGACTCTCTAGCACGCGCACATGTCCTATAGCAAAAATCTCTCCAAGAAACAGTGACACTGGGATTAAAACTCGGATCTCTCTGACTCTTTTTTTCTTTTTTGGCGAAGGTACATTTAATATCAAGAGTCAATACCAAAGGCCCAAATACAACAAAGGAGCATGTTCCCCCTTTAACGTCAATGACAAGGCTCTTTAAACA